GGCAGTAGAGGAAAAGATGACGTTTTTGAGTGGAGTTTCTTGAATCAGTAAGCTGCAACTTACAAAGGCACGAATACTGAGGATGACATCGGTGATGGTAACTGAAGGCTGAATTGGGATGGAGGCAAAGATAACTGCAAATGTGAAAATGAAGAAAAAAAGCGATCAGAGTCAGGAATGGATGATCCAAGAGTATCCCAAGTGTCTTCAGGGAAGTGATGAGATAAGGGGTGGAGACAGAGATGATGAGCATCTTAACATCTTAAAAGTAATGAGAGGAATGTCAGGAGGTAAGGAAATGACATTTTTTTTAACGTTTATTTACTTTTGAGACAGAGAGACAGAGATGAACGGGGGAGGGTCAGAGAGAGAGGGAGACACAGAATCTGAAACAGGCTCCAGGCTCTAGGCTCCGAGCTGTCAGCACAGAGCCTGAAGCGGGGCTCGAACCCTCGAACCGTGAGATCATGACTTGAGCCGAAGTCGGATGCTTAACCGACTGAGCCACCCAGGCACCCCAAACATTTTTTTTAAAGGAAGGACAGTGATTGTTACAACCTGAAAATCTAAGAGCTAAGATTTTTTTATGGGAAAAAGATGATAAATGGCTTGGAAATGAAACGGGAAATGACTTTGAGGTATTTGGGGGGTGAGAAAAATCATTCTCCACTTGAGAAGGTCTCAAGGCAAGCGATATCTTCATGGGATGGCCCACATTCAGTCCAGTAAAAAAAGAAAAAAGAAAAAATAAAGAAAGCTAATAGAAACTTCAAAGAAGTTAAGATTGAGGTTTTTAATTTCAGTTTTTTAAACGACGGTTGGTAGCTATCCGAGGGGACAGTGGAAGGGTATGGGAGGTGGGGGAGATCAGGTCTATTAGTGGAACACATGGTCAAGTGTGGAGACTGGGGTAAGGGTGAAGATAAGAAACAGAAGGAGTGAGTGTCTGAGCTTCCTGCAATCACAGAAGTAAACAGAGTTGGTAGCTTTAATGTCAGGGTGGTAACTTCTCTTTTTGCAGCTGAGAGAAGTAACAGCCTCTGCCTGGGAGTCCTTCTATGAGTGCTCTGTTCTTTCCAAAATGAGACAAAACCAAAGTGCCTGAGACATAATGACTAATAAATGTGCTCAATATTCTATCTCCTAAAGATGTTTTAGGATCCTAAGAATTTTATCAGAATTTTTTATATGTTACACCAGCTGAGAGACATAAAGTATGCTGTTGGTTCTGGGAAATAAATAGCATTAACTTACGTTTTAAATCATTTTTATTAAGTTATTTAGAACTCAGATTTGGGGTTGGGTATAAGGCAGAGAAGTAAATTCGGCAAGTGGCAGTGTTGGTCATATTGTTAAGCAGAGAAGGGTTAAGTATGTTTTACCTGTTTTTATGAATAATATATCAGGGCATCCATCCTTTGAGAAAAAGGATTGTAATTTAGGAGATAGAAAAACTGAGAACAAACTGAGGGTTGATGGAGGGTGGGTGATGGGTATTGAGGAGGGCACCTTTTGGGATGAGCACTGGATGTTGTATGGAAACCAATTTGACAATAAACTTCATATATTGAAAAAAAAAGGAGATAGAGGAAATAAGTGAAATTTGTAAATTTGATGATTTTTACTATTTTATAACTCTCTTCTTAATGATATTCCTGAAGGACAACCCTGTGTTAAGCAGAATACAGACCATATGAGTAGGTACTGATATTTTGATGAAAGTCAAACAGAAGTACATTTTGCTTTCCTTAATCACAGATGAAAGTTGGTAAAGTAAAAATGACCCAGTGACCATGCTGGTCACTGAGGAATATAGAAGATGGCCCACAATCTTTCTCCCTTTACCGTTTGGCTATTTTGCTTGGTACACCTATATATCCCTATTGAATCTGGTTGGGGAAACAAGCATTTTGGCCAGCCTGTTGTCCTTATATCATACAATGGCCTCTTGAAAGTAAAGGATGTCACTGACATTTCATGGAAGGGTTCTATGAACCGCTTTCTGTGTTGTTACTAGCAATTGTCACAATCTTCTAAGGAGGTATTACTATCCCTAACCTTATGGTCAAAAAAATTGAGGCTCATAAAATGTAAAGTGGATTGCTCAACAAGGTACAACTCATAATGTTGGGGTTGGAACTTGCAAAAAAAAAAAAAGGGAAAAATTTTGTCCCTATATTTTTGAAGCCCAATAATAATTTCGAGTACATAAGATCTGGGTTCGCAGGGCAGAGACACTAGTAAACAAAATCTGTAAGTAGGAAGTGTCCCCAATATTTTATCTAGGCTGCATGGATTCTTAATTCCTTTACGCAGTTGATAGATCGATACGCAAATAATTTGTTTCGTGAACTGTCCAAGGGAGACTGCAAATGCTCTACATGCTTTATAAGATTGCTATGAGGATCAAGGTATACATATGTTATATTAATATGGGATAGGGCCACACAGATGTGGGTACCCTTGGTAGCAGTGCCTTTCCTTTCTGGCTTTTTCAGAGAAGGGTTGAGCGAGCAAGGCATTGCATAATCTTGTATGAATTTGGTATTTTTATGAAAAGTCAAAGATACTGACTTGAGATTTCATCGAGTTCCAGATGCATCTATATGCGAGAAAGTTCTAGAAGAGAACTCTACACCTTGTTAGTTATCAGCTGCCCGTCTCAGAGCTTTACATCAGCAGGCACCATGGCCAAACTCGCTTGCTACTCCCAGAGGCATTCCAGCCCCAGGAGTGAGGCAGAGTTATGAAGACTAATTGTTTTTGGATATTTAATTGGCTATGTCTCAAGAAAAGTCTACAAAGAGTTATTCTAAATTTCAAGTAGCAAGAACAAGACTAGCAAATATCTATTAAGTTCTTAATATGCGACAGTATGCTAAGGGATTTTTATGCATTTCTCTATCACTCAAAACAACTCCATGTGGTAGGCACTATAATCATTACCTTTTTGCAGAAAGAGATGTGAGCACCAAGGACTAAGTGCTTACATCCCCCCAAGTCCATACGTTGAAATCCTAACCCCCAGTTTGATGATATTATTAGGGAGTTGGGACTTTGGAGGTGATTAGGTCGTGAGGGCAGACATCTCATGAATGGGATTAGTGTCTTCATATAAGAGACCCCAGAGCATTCCCCTCCTCCTTCTGTCATGTGAGGACTCCAAAAATCGGGTTGTCATCAGACATTTAATTAATTAATTAATTAAGTAGTTTTTCTTTTTTTTCTTTTTTTTAATGTTTATTTATTTTTGAGACAATGCGAGAGACAGAGTGCAAGCAGCGGAGGGGCAGACAGAGGGAGACACAGAATCCGATGAGGGCTCCAGGCTCCGAGCTGTCAGCCCAGAGACCGATGCGGGGCTTGAACTCATGAACCGTGAGACCATGAAAGCCGAAGTCGGAGGTTCAACCGACTGAGCCACCCAGGTGCCCCATCAGACATTTAATTTAATTAGGCAAACCCATACTGAGGGTTTACTATGTGGCAGGTGTTCTCCTATCAAAGAGAGTTTACCTATTAGGCATCCAAAAAGTAATTACACTAGGAAGAATTATAATTTGAGAGTACTAATGCCTAATGTCTTTCACAGAGAAGTCCCAGCTCTGGGCTGCTAAGGCCTTTTAATTAGTTGAACCAGGCCTACCCAGATGATCTAGAATATCTTTCTTACTTAAGGTCAATTGATTATGACTTTAATCACATCTACAAAATACCTTCATGGCGACACTTTAGAAGAGTGTTTGATCAAATAACTGAGGACTGTAACCAAGCCAAATTGACGCATGAAACTGACCATCAAAGCACCTACCTTGGAGCAGAAGAGAAGGAGTAAGGCACAAGTTTGTGGAGTTGGTTCCTAAGATGATTTTTAAAGGGTGAGCAGGAAATAGTGACTCAGAGCAGAGTACAGGAAGGCACATGCTTTTGAGAGGAATGGACTGTAAAGTCCAGGAGAGAAGCAATGACCTGTGCCTCTTTCCTTTACTCCGTTCCACTTTCCTTCACTCTGCTTAACTGACACCAGATAGAGAGCGGGAAACAAGATGGTACTATCTTTGAGAAAAAATTAGTGGGGTTAAAAAAAGCCATCGTTCATCTAAGAGGCTTCAAGGAATAGACAGGGTGAAGCAGGGCTTGAAGAAAAGAATTTGAAAGTGCAGAGAAGTTCACGTGGCATTTCAGAGATGGCAGCCAGTGACGACTCTAGGGTGTGGCTCTATGTTTACCGCTGGTGTGAAATTGGCTGCCCCTTTACTCCCAGCCCCTCTAGCTTCCTGCTTGTGTGGCTGTACTTCTGGTTACTATCACTAGCAACTGTGATTGTGTTAACTGTTTCTGTCACTGTTCTCGTTAAAACGATGCCTGCACTGTTTTAGGTCCTTACGTAGAGTCTAGGTGCTTACATAGAGCTTCACAATGTGTGTGTGTGTGTGTGTGTGTGTGTGTGTGTGTGTGTGTTTTGTTTGTTTTTTTTGAGAGAGAGAGAGAGAGAGAGAGGGAGAATCCCAAGTAGACTTCATGTACAGTACGAAAGAACCCAATGTGGGGCTGGATCCCATGACCTTGGGTTCGTGATCTGAGCCAAAATCAAGAGTTAGATGCTCAATTGGACTGAGCCACCCAGGTAGAGTGTGGGGTTTTTGTAAAGGTATTACCTTCATTTTCCAAGTGTGAAATGTGAGGCTCAGCGTGGTTAAAGGATGTGTCCAAGATTGTGTGTGTGTGTGTGTGTGTGTGTGTGTGTGTGTGTATTTTACTGTGTCATCAGAAATCATAAAAATTTCACATTTCTCTTGCCATTAGAACCTCCACCAGTAAGCCTGAGTTCATTAAAATAAGTCATCTAGTTGAGTGAACTTGGTCTGGTTTAACTATTTCTGTCTTAGGTACCAACCAGCACACCTGGCTTAGAGCTTCCTGGTCTACCTATCAAATAATAGAGTTGCGGTTTTAGGCCTATGACTTAACGTTTCCGCATTTCACTTCTTCTGTTACAGGGGAGTAGTAATTCCATCTTTGTCTATCAAACTGGCCAATGAGATGGGGGTCACACGACAATTGCTATACGACCACCACTATTGATGCTGATTTTCCATGACTGACAGCAACCGAATAAAATTCTCTGGTCTTGATATAAGCCAGGTACTGTGTAAGGTACTTTATACCACACACTGGCCATTGAGGTAAACTGATTATCCCCATTTTGTACGTAATGAAACCAAAGCAGAGAGAAATTGATTATTTAAGAGTACACGTTTTAAGTCTTAAGTCGGGATTCTGATGATCTCAGTCTGACTTCCTGCCTCTTCCTCAACACATGGAAGCCTCCCCCGGAAGAAATAATTTTCCCTGAAAGTGAGTATCATCTACTAATAAACGAATGATACTTTCCCTACGCTTTTGCATCCTGTTTTTAAGGAAAAAAAAATCAGCTGTGTGTCTTCTGAAGAAAGACATAGCCATTGTGCACAGTTTGGATGCCTGCATTTTAGCTTTAACAAGTAGACAAAATGTCTGCTTAATTTTACTGGTAACAACTTTATCGGTGATTCAGAGGGAACATCGTAACATTTTTCAAGAAGATAAAAATTGGAACTTGCAAAATTTATCAAGAATATTCTTCAAAGACTCTGGGCTCCTTTTTTGTTATGTGTTTTTCATAGTGGCTGGCAAAGCAGGGGCAGCTTATCTCTAATGCTCTCATTTCAAGAAGTATACTCTGATTCGCAAGATAGCAGATGTGACTGTTCAGTCTTTTCATCCAAGTATATAACAGTGACACCCGCGAATGCCAAAGAAACAGGTGAAAAAAAAATATATATATAGGTATTAGAACAAAATCAAAGTTTTCTGAAAATGGAAATGGATTTATTTTAAGATTCTGTAGCAAAGGCAGCCACCTTATCAAGATGCAGAGAAGAGAGCTGGAGTTGAAAAAGTGGAAGGTAAAACTTTCTAAAGATTTCCCCAAGTTTGACTAAGGTCCTTATTCTCCAATGGTAGTCATTATTAACTCAAAATTTATGCAGCTCTAATGAGGCACTTTTTTTCCAATCGGTTTCTTCAGTTTAAACTGTAGGAAGGATCACTTGGTAAAGTCTCTCTGATTATTAAAAATGCACACATATGCTTTGATCTGGTTCCTCCTAGGATTTAACCCTATGGATATACATACATGTATGTCTGAGAATTTAGGTGTATGACTGTTCAGTGTGGCATGATTGGTAATAGTAAGTATTTAGAAATAACCCAATTTTTTTTCAGTAGAGATCTCACAATATAGCTTCAAAACATGTCAAGCAAAAACTGACAGAATTTCAATGAGAAATTGACTAATCAACAAGCATGGTTTTTAAAATTTTAACACACTTCTCTCCAAAAAAATTGAGCAGTCAAATTACGCAGACCATAGATGATTTAAGTAACACAGAACAAGCCTGCTCTAACAAACATGCATAGAATATCGCACTCAATGTTCGTGAGCATACAATCCTTTCAAGACCATTGTAAAAATTGTCTATGTAAGAGAGCACGAAACAGAAATACCAAAAAAATTGAGAACCAGAGTTGATTGCTCAAATATCTTCTCTCACTCCTATATAATAAAATTAGTAATCAATTAAAAAAAATAGAAACTGAAAATCCACCAAAAGATTCATATCTAAAATATATAAATAACTCATAAAAATAACAAAAATAGCTTAATTCACAAAAGGACAGGCAATATAAACATGAAATTCTCAGAGAAGGTACTGGAAGTCTCAATAATTAGATTAAAGAAATGCTTGGTCATATCAACAATAAGGGGAATTAAAGTTAAAATAGCAGGGGACCTGGGTGGCTCAATCGGTCAAGCATCCAACTTTTGGTTTCGGCTCAGGTCATGATCTGGGGATTTCTTGAGTTTGAGTCGTGCCTCGGGCTCTGAGCTGGCATCATGGAGCCTGCTTCGGGAGTTTCTCTCTCTCCCTGCCCCTACCCCACTCACACTGTCTCTGTCTCTCTCAAAATAATTAAGTATATAAAGTTTAAAAAATAAAGAAATAAAATTAAAATAGCAATAAGATACTATTCACAGATTTACAAACTTTAGTACACCCAATAAAGCCAAGTGATTGCAAAGATGTGGGGAGAAAAGAATATTGTTGGTGGGTGCTGGCTGGTACAATAATAAAGGCATGGTCTTTTTAGTCAGAATGAGTACATGAGGTTCTACCCTAGAGAATGGCTTATCTTTTCATAAATTCCATGTAGAAGGATGCATACTATGGCAGTCTTAATAGTGACAATGTGGAAACAATGTAACTGTCCCAAAGAAGGGGACTACTATACTCACACAAAAGAGGACATTTAAAAATACATTTAAAAATAATTCAGGGGGTGCTTGGGTGGCTCAGTCGGTTAAGTCTCCGACTCTTGATTTTGGCTCGGGTCATGATCTTCTGGTGTGGGACATCAAGCCCAGAGTCGAGCTCTCTGCTGACAGTGCAGAGCCTACTTGGGATTCTCTCTCCCTCTCTCTCTAACCCCCCTCAAAATAAATAAAAATAAACTTAAAAAAATAATTCAAATATTTACATGCATGGAAAAAAATATGAAAACATAATATTGTGTAAACAAAAAGAAGTCACCAAAGGATAGGTAGAGAATGATACGATTTATAAGGCAAGAAGCTAGTCTTATCCATGAATATAGTTATAAAAATACAGAGAAATAATACATTCAAAGAGGGGACAGCGGTGACATCTGAAGAGGAAATGAAGAAAAATGATACTTTTTTTTGTACGTGGAAAGTTTCCTATTCTTTTATTTTTCTTTCTTTCCTTCCTTCCATCCTTCCTTTATTCCATCTTCCTTCCTTCCTTTTGTCCTTCCTTCCTTCCTTCCATCTTCCTTCCTTCCTTCCTTCTCTTCTTTCCATAAGAATCCTTGAACAAATGTGACACAATTTTGATATTTAAATTTCTTTTGTTGGTAGATACACAGATTTTGGTTATATTCTTTTTCATATTTTTCTATGTGTTTAATTATTTCATAATTAAAAACAAAGCATTAAAAAAAATCACTCGACCTAAGGTCCTTTTCTTTTCACATTTTTCCAGCCCTAAGCCAGACCCTATTACCATATGTCCTGTCACTGCTAGGGTACCATATCAAGACCCCTGGCCTCCCATGCAATTTAACTGGCCTTTTGCTTCCAGGATATTCTTAAAAAATACTGTGAAGTAGATAAAGCAAGCATCAGCATATTATTGGTTTTTATAGATGAAGAAAGAGAGCCCTTTTGTCCAAGGCTCTATAGGCAGAAATAGAAGACTTAAACCACTGGTCTCTCTGTCCAGTGCTCATATTGTTACCGTGCATTGCCTTAAATTATTTCATGTCAATTTTGATCTGAAAGATAGTTCAATGTCATTGTATATCATATGCAAACATGATGAAAAAGAGCGTCAGGGCAAACATATTTTACCTCTGTGTCAAACCAGATTAATTTGTACTTATTGTCTACATTATGAGTTTCTGGCATTCACTGGGGATAAGCAGAGATTGGGTCCCGACTGCATCTCAAGAGTTGGAGACCTGTCGCTCATGCTTCTGATTTGACATCCAGACTGTATGAGCCACATGGAAGGCGCTTATTTAGTGGTGATTCTTGACTACTTAAATGTACCATGCATTTGTGTTTCTTTTCCCACACATGCTTACACGGAAACACGACCATGACAAGCATGACTGTCCCCTCTTGTCTGACCTGCTTTAAACTTTGGACTGAGACACTTACCCTGGTGACTCACCCCATGTCATACACTTCGGTGGAATATTTTAATTGATTCTATTGCAAGGTCTTCAAGTCGGAGGGTGCCATTTTCTCCCTGAAAAGTGCTTACAGGATCCAAATCAGGCTGTAAGTCCATAGGTGACTCATAGTGTTTCTCAGTGGTTTGAACTCTTACTCTATGAAGCAGAGGGCAGAGGTTTGAGAAATTAAGCAAGAAGCAAGCCATTTCACTTGTGTTCTTCAGCCAGTTGCAATTTATTTTCCCTCTCATGTTCCAGTAGGATTAACCTAACATAGTTAGTGAGAACACTGAGATTGTGTTTCTTGTAAAGGTGGTATATGGAGAGGCTCTTGGACTCTCTTCAGCCAGTCTATGAGTGCTAACCCTTTGTCAGAGAGAATTCCTGACCCCATTGCCCGTTAATCTCTAAGGGACGAAGCGAAGGCAAGAGGTGCCTCTTGAAGTCCTCCGCGCTGAGTCAAGAGATCTTTTTCTTGCTAACTCGTCAGCATAAAATCTGGGGTGTGAAGTCTCACCCTGTTGTCATATCCATCAAATCGCTCACCATCTATTTCCATTAGCAGTGCTGTGCACAGCTGGGCTTAATGGTCTCTTGCAGCAAAATGAATAGGAAGGGACGGCCATACAAAGTGAGTCAGAAAGGGCTCCTATGTCTTTCTCCCCTATGGTAAACACCTCATGAGGGAGGAAAAGTGGCAATGTCTTTTTCATTCTTATGGTGAAAGTCACACAATAAATCACAGGTCCTAGATTCTCCAGAAAAAGGAAAATTTATAGTAATTCCTTATATTTAGAATTTTCCCTCTTTCAAAGTAGCTCAAAACTTTTTTTTTCTTTTCCAAAATTTTTTTGAATGTTTATTTTTAAGAGAGAGAGACACAGATGCAGAGTATGAGCAGGGAAGGGACAGAGAGAGGAGACACAGAGGCCAAAGAGGGCTCCAGCCTCTGAGCTGTCAGCACAGAGCCTGATGCGGGGCTTGAACTCACAAATGGTGAGATCATGACCTGAGCTGAAGTCAGACGCTTAACGGACTGAGCCACCCAGGCACCCCAGTAGCTCAAAGCTTTCAATAGGCTTTTCCTCAACCTCCAACCCCTCATGACTTAATGAAGACTTCTTGAACCATGTATTAAGGGATGGTTATTTCCATTATTCTATTGGTTCCATCTTCTATTGGTTCTTTCCTTATTCTCAGACCCCTGAAATTTATGGCCTGCAGACACTACATCTTTTGCAGTGGAAACATTTTTGTTCCTATTTATTCATGAGTATTGATCTTTCTACTCCTATGTCCTTTAGGATTCTTTCCCTATGGTTTATTTTTAATGTTC